TGAGATAATGTCTCCATGTTTGTTTAGGAACAAAGATTTTAAATAATATATCTATATTCTTGTGTTGGAGTCTCACCCTGTTGCCTAGGCTGGAGTGTAGTGGCATGCTCACAGCCACCGCAGCTTTGACCTGCAGGGCTCAGGAGTTCCACCTCAGCCTTCCAAGTATCTGGAACTACAGGCACATGCCACCAAGCCCAGCTAGTTTTTATTTATTGTAGAGACGAGATCTCGCCAAGTTGCCCAAGCTGGTCTCGAATTCCTGGGCTCAGGCAATCCTCTTGCCTAGGCCTCCCAAAGTGATGGGATTATAGGCTTGAACCACTGTGACCGGCCGGCTTTAAGTAATATTTAACAATCTATTTAAACAATTGAGTTGTAATGTCTATTTACTATGAAGAATTAAAAAAAAAAAACTACAGACAACATTAGACGTAGAAAACTTTTAAGATAGCCAGGTGCGGTGGCTCATGCCTGTAATCTCAGCACTTTGGGAGGTAGAGGCAAGAGGATTACCTGAGCTCAGGGGTTTGAGACCAGACTGAGAAACATCGCGAGACCTTGTCTCTACAGAAAATTAAAAAAATCAGCCGGGCATGGTGGTACATGCCTGTGGTTCCAGTTACTTGAAAGGCTGAGGTAAGAAGGATTACCTGAGCCCAGCAGGTCGAGGCTGCAGTGGCCATGAGCATGCCACTGCACTCCAGCCTGGGCGACAGAGTGAGACTCCAACTCAAAAAAAAAAAAAAAAAAAAAAAAAAGGCTGGGCGCGTGGCTCAGCCTATAATACCAGTACTTCGGGAGGTTGAGGCAAGTGAACTGCCTGCACCCAGAGTTCAAGACTAGCCTGGGCAACTTGGTGAGACCTTGTCTCTACAATAAATCACACACACAAAAATTAGCTGGTCATGGTGGCATGCGCCTGTTGTTCCAGTTACTTGGAAGGCTGAGGTGGAAGGATCGCCTGAGCTCAACAGGTCGAGGCTGAGGTGGCTGTGAGCAGAGTGGCACTGCACTCCAGCCTGAGCAATAGAGTGAGACTCCAACTCAAAAAAAAAAAAAAAGAAAAAACTTCTAAGCTATTATAAGTAAGTGGCCAGTTCTAATACTTTTTATAGAGCCCCTCAAAACAGGAAAAAAAAAAACTGTACTGTAAAATATTCTACAGTTACTATTTGTCATTCTTAAGGCTGCCGGTTTATATCTGACCCTTCGTATTACTGATTTCCCAGTGAGGAGAACTTTCCACAGTTCTGCTTACGCAGATCTGAAATGGTCCTCAGAGGAGACCCTGGGCTTTTCAGAAGCAAGATGTTACAGAGAGAAGGCCTTGAGGCAGTCTTCTGTATTACAAAACCAACAATGTAAATCTGTGGTCTCTCGGCTCCTAGCCGCCCCAGAGTTTGGGGATGAACTTGAAGGGCCATCCCGCAACCTTCTCAGAATGACCCAAACACATATTAGGGAGGGTGAGATGACAAAGTCTGCATGATGTCTTTTGATCGCTCTGATTCCCATGACTTCAGAACAAATTGAGTATTACTTCATGCCATAAAAATTCATATATATATATATTTTTGAGTTGGCGTCTCACTCCATTGCCCAGGCTGGGGGGAAGTGGCATGCTCTTGGCCACTCCAGTGTTGACCCACCAGACGCAGGTGATCCTTTCGCCTCAGCCTTCGAAGTAGCTGGAACTACAGGCGTGCGCTACCACACCCAACTAATTTTTTTATTTACTGTAGAGATGACGTCTCGCCAAGCTGCACAGGCTGTTCTCAAACCCGTGAACTCAGCCTCCCAAAGTGCTGAGATTATAGGCTTGAGCCACCACACCTGGCTAAAATGCATATTTGTATCCTGCTTATACACCTTAGGTAACCACCCACTGACATGTGAGACTGAGGCAAATGCACAGAATCCGAAATAACCCCAAATAATGCCATCTATTTTCAGTGTTGGCTACTCACAAGACTTGGGTTATGGCACAAAGTAAGTAGTGTATGGTTTACTGGTCTGAAGAGGGATATTTCTTTTTCTATTCATCATAATACAGTTGTAATAACAATCTAAGTTTTTTGTAGAATAGTAGTTCTTCCAAAAGTATCAATTTTTAGAAGTGGATATTTAAATTTTGTAAGGTAGGTGTTGTTTTGGAGCAAATACTTGTAACAGACCCTCTACAAAAACAAGTAGTACATTGTAGGAGGGAATAAAATAGCAGATTAAAAACCTGCCTCTAGTATCTACAAAAGGTATGAGGGTGAAGGGATTCTCCTTGGGTTTCAGATCCCAGTTCATGATTGCTGTGACAAGGGGAGTAAGAAGTGACATGACATTCCAGAGTGTTTGGTGGGAAAAGAAAAAGAGGTGAAAGGGAGTAATGCCAGCCTATGGCATGAGATGTCTGATAGTATATGGCACTGCCAAATCCAGAATTTCAGTAAAACGAAAAATTGTTTTTAATGTCACAAGTTATAACTCCAAGTCGCTGGGATCTTGCTTTCTCCAAGTTCAACTCAGCCCTTTGTCTAAATTAAGAGCAGTGTGGCTACCTGCCAAGCAGTGAGCTTGAGATGAAGAGGAAGTGCAGGAGTGTAATGGCAGGGGTTGCTTCTGCTGGACTTCAAGGTCCTTGGGACCCACTGGGATCTGTAACTTGGTTGCTACCTTGACAGCTGGAAGAGAAAGGGTAATGACAGCAGGTACTAGGGGTGCAGTGACACGAATGGAAGCATGGAGGAGGGGAATCAGGAAGGCTTAACCAAGAGAGGTGGTGTTCGCTTATACCAAGAAACCTCACCAGTTAGGTGCCAGTAAGATGTCATAATTATACCTTTACATATTTAGGTCTTTGTCTCTTTGAAACATTGTTTTCTGACTTCTAAAATAATCCATGCATTATGTAAAAATAAGGAAAAGACCTATAAAAAGTTCAGAAAAAATTAATCATCACTCATAAACTTACCACTCAAAGATAACCACCGACAACATTTTGATGTGCTTTTTTCCTAAACACGTTTTTAAATCAAAATTTGTATTCTTTGGTATAAAATATTTTATAATACGGTGCTTTTCACTTGGTAATAGGTACATTAAATATTACAGACATAAGAAAAAAGCTTATTGAAGCCCTTCCTCTATGCCCAAGTTCAGTCTTATGTTCAGAGGATGGAAAGATCACTTTTGGTTTTGAATGATCTGGAAGATTTCATGAATAGGTGGATATTTAAGAATGACAGAATTTTTGGAAGGCACAGACAAGGAAGGCAGATGTTTCAGGTGAAATAAATATAACAAATAAAGTTTTGAAGGTGAAACACATCAACTTGTCTGACGCACAGGGAATACTGGGAAGGAAGGAAGCGGTCTCACTGCTAAGTCCAGGGCTGTGAAGAGACAGAGGAATAACAAGAAGCAGGGAGGAAAGAAAAGGTGGCTGAGAGCCTTTGGGGTTGGAAACTCAGTCATCAGTGTTAACTTTGGAGGGAGGCTAACTCTCCAGTTCAGTTGGTGAGAGCAAAAGCAAGGAAACAGAGGTTGGCAGAGGCTTCTTCTTACACCAAGAAATTAGCTATGAAAAGAACAATAGAGGAGTAGCTCTACCTGGGGTTATCAGAGTCAGTATCAAGTATTCTTCTAAGATGGCAAACCAGTAAGACTTAGAGACGTCTCCCTTCAGATGGGAGAAGATAAGTACTGAAGTACAGAGAAAGAAAGATGAACGCTCTCACTCTCAATGATCTTAATTTTCTTGATAAAGAGGAGAGATCATCACCTGACAGAGGAGAAAGGTGGTAGACTTGGAGGAAATCAATAAAGAAAATGGAGTAGGACTACAGAGTAACCCTGTGTCCAGTTCAGGCTGAAGAGCATGGCTTTGTAGTGGGGCATGTTAATGGAGTCATACAATCTTCCCCAGAACACTATGAGTTTCAAAGCACCATCTCTAAATGAGATGGTGGCAGAATTAAGGGCTGGGTGCTGGCTGAAAGTCATGCAGAAGTCAGGATATCTGTGAGAGCAGCAGTCAGTAGTTGACCTTTGTAAATAGGTTGGAAGGAGGCTTCAAGGGACCTCACAGATTGGGTGACCTAAGGTGGGGTGGGAGATGGAATGCTTGGGAGGAATAGAGGGTATAAAGTACAGGTGCCTTGGAGGTGAATTTTAAGGGAGAAGATGGGGAGGGAGTGGTTATCTTCATACATATGTATAAGGTACCATGCAACCTAGAAACAAAAATGTGGAGAACAAATCAACTGGTTGAAATAAGCACAGAGAGCCTGATTTTGATAATTTGTTCTCCTAATTTGTGAATCAAACAGAATTTAAGAACACTGAAAAATGCACCAGCCCTGGAAATAATCTGACAGCAGAGTCTTCCATGAGAGTGGAGACCAGGGGCTGTAACTTGGGAAGGTTAGTCTGGCAGCCACCTGGCAGTCACTTTGCTGTACACAGAGAGGAAGGGCTCAGGTTAATGAAGCAGCTTAAGTTACTTAAAGGCATTAAGGTTACAAACTACGTAGTAGGAGGGGCGGGGTTATGTCAGCCACAGAACAAGGGTGCCTCCCACAGAAAGTGTACAAAAGGAAGTATGGAGAGAATGTAAAAACACAGGGAGACCATTTGCATCAGGAAGAAGTCTACCTTTCTTTCCTAACTTCCTATAAAACTAAAACACTGGATGGCACATGTCAAAACTAGCAGCTATAAATTCTTAAATGCATAAACAAATCTTTGAATTTTAAATTATGCAATATATTGGAATGTTAATAAGCAAGAAAATACAGCAGGGCTTTTTTTAAACCTATAGAATTAGAGTTAATCACTTGTACACTGCAACATAATGATGTACGATGATTTGAGAAAATGCAAGACCTTAAAGTTAAAAGCTGTTACCAAACCTCTTACTCTAAAATCTTGGTGTAATACATATTTTACACTAGGAGTTGAAGAGGAGGGAGCAACTACAAAAGGAGAAGCAAAAAATACAATACCTCTGGATTCATTATCCCTTCTTTTTTAAAACAGCTGTAAAACATGTCCATGGAAAATACTTCACTCCAAAGATATCCATAATATTGGCCATCATATCCCCCTGCCAAATGTCCAAAAGTAGCTGGCATATTTGTGCCTTTAAGAAAAGATACATTTCAATCAATATGATAGCAAAAGTTAATTATTAGGTTATAAGCTAGTTAAGATTTCCCTTTGGAAAGTCCTACTGTGGGAGGAGAGAGTGAATGATCTGATCTCACCTCTAGTACTCCCTGGGTTTATGTGTGCCCTGGGCCAAGATGTTTATAAACTTCTCTTCTGTGGATGGCTCAACCTCAGAGCTGGTTTCGGCCCTAAGCTCTGGAATGCTAACAATAGTTTCTGAGTCTTTGTCCACACCCATCATAGCTCAGAGTTTTAGAACTAAAGTCAGTCCTTTCTTATCCCTTAAACATGTATATATCTTGAAAGATTATTAACCCCACTTTTGGCCACATCTTTTTATATCTAAAATGTCTCAGAGTGGCACTTATTTTAGACTGATTCTTACTGAAAAAGAACTCTTTATTGATCCAATCTATCTGTAGGGCTACTTTATAAAGGATTTTGTAAAAGTGGCTTAAGACACAGTGCTCTATGACTTACAATAAACACAACACCCAAAGAGGTGAGAGGAACATAGACTGACTCAACTGACCATTCTTATCTTTATTATCGCTATAAATGTGGCTGATTCATTTTCTTAACAATTTCCTTGGTGAAAAAACATACACCTTATCAGTTACACATAAAAGCACAACCATTTATTGGTTTAAATACATACATATCACACCTGTAGTCCCAGCACTTTTGGAGGTGGAGGAGAGAGGATTGCCTGAGCTCAGGGGCTCGAGATCAGCCTCAGCAACATAGTAAGACCTCTTCTCCACAATAAATCAAAAAATCAGCTGGGCATGGAGGTACATGCCTGTGGTTCCAGCTACTTGGAAGGCTGAGGTGGAAGGACTACCTGAGCCCAACAGGTCGAGGCTGTGGTGACTGTGAGTGAGAATGAGACCCTGACTCAAAAACACACACACACATACACACACACACACACACACGAGGTTAGAAACTGCTAGTGAAATGCTTTAATTGACCACAGAACCAGAAAAGAGGTAGAATTTCATATTTCTCTCTAAAAATGCCCCTTCTGCCAATTTCTTACTGAAAATCACAGGGAAGTCATGCTGCATACAAGGAGGGAGGAGCCGGGAGTGGCTGCCAGCATGAATGGCTCTCCCAGCTCTGGGGTGGAGGCCAACTGCTCATGCCTGATTACACTAAAATGCTGCAAATCTGGAGCCACCTCTCCTTCAAGCGCATTTGGACAGGATTACTCATAAGGACATAGTATGCTTTATCTGAAAGTCATGGCCTGATTACAGAAATCAGAAACAAATTAGGTAATCTGTCTGACAAACCCCACCTCCCCTGCAGTGTTAGGAGAATGGCCTGTGCTTCACAGGGAAAACAAAATCAACTCATAGTGTTTACGTACCTGGAGTAGCTGCAATGCCTAAAATTTCTGAGCAGTATTTGGCATATTCACTTGCAGCGTCCAGTGATGTGTTGGTGTGGAGAGATTGATCAACTTTGCTCAAAACAATCTGGCGTAGGGTCAGAAGACCTGATAACATAAGAAAGTTTGAGTATGTTTTGGAAAAGAGAGAGGTGTGTGTTCTAATATTACAAGATCATAGATTTCAAAAATGGATTCCAGTAGTACTCATCACAAAATGGGAGCAAGACATTTTACTCTAAGATTTAAAGGAGATGTGGTTTTTTTTTTCCTCATAGACGTAAGCCCAGGGATCCCTATTCCAATATATTTTGTGTTCTTCACTCCTCATATTAGCACTCTTGGGGTACCATTTAAGGGGAAAATAAGTTCTATAGAAGAAGATGCCAGTGATTCTACATTAAGCAATTTGAATTTATTTTCATTTTCTAAAATTACAAATCATACCTGTGTTGACCAGTCTAGAAGCAACAAGTTTTTCAAGCAGATCATCTGTAATTGGACTTCCATCTATATAATGTTTTGACAATCTTCGGAGGGAATCAATGTCCCACACCCAATTTTCAAGCATTTGTGATGGTACCTCTACAAAGTCAGTTTCCACATTTGTTCCACTAAATCGTGCAAAATCGGTCTACAAAGCAAACAGATGTACTTTTTAAAGCACTGAACAAAAACTATGTGATGAATTATTATTAAGACTCATCAAAACTTGAGGTAGAATCAGAGTCAAATGCCCCTTTGAATGAGGGGTTAGAATAACCTCAAATTTAAGTGGAAATAAAATACAGCAGCTGAGCAGGGTTAAAAATTACCCCCAAAAATCTGATATTAAGGTAATAATTTCATTCTTTTGAGATAAGACAAACTTGGAACAATTATCAGGAAATCATAACTGAAAAAAACAGTCTTTTTAAAACTAAAAACAAGCCCTAAGCTTTGAAAGTAAACATGTTTTTGAAGAATTTTCCATAAAAAATGAAGAGATCCATCAGACAAGTGATTTCTCCCTAGCTCCTCCTTCCAAATGCATACTTCTGTTTACACAATACATGCCTTTCTGGGATACTCATTACTCTATTGCTTAACTACTCAAGTTTTAATCAAAATCAATTAAAGAGTTAAATTACAACATTATGGTCTGACAGTCTTTGTGTATGTGTGATGTTTTGTACTCTAAATTCTAAATGTGGTTCTAAGATAACCATGTGGTAGAAAGTCTGAGCTGTACCTATCAGACAAGATGTTTCCTTAAACTAAGAAGCCACTTCAGTGGAAGTTAAGTCTGTGGATTAACTGGCAAGTGGAGTGAGTTAAATGCTATAAGAGAAACAAAGGATCTATTTATTTATTTACTTACTGACCAACTTACTTATTTACTTATTTATCTATTTTACTGTAGGAGTTTCACCCTGTCGCCCAGACTGTAGTACAGTAGCACACCCATGGCTACTGCAGCCTCAATATGCTGGGCTCAGGTGATCCTTCTGCCTCAGCCTTCGAAGTAGCTGGAACCACAGGTGCATGCCACCACGCCCAGCTTATTTTTTGATTTATTGTAGAGACAAGGTTTTGCCAAGTTGCCCAGGCTGGTCTTGAACCCCTGGACTCAGGCAATCCTCTCACCTCTGCCTCCCAAAGTGCTGGGATTACAGGCATGAGCCATGGATGCACTCAGTCACAAAGGATATATTTAAAATTAGAGTACCCTGGGTAAAAATAAAGGAATTATTCTGAGGTCCTGGGCTAAGAGTTTTAAAAAAGTTTAAAAGAGTTTAAAATAAAACCAAAGTTTAGTGAATTCTTGAGTCAAATGTCAGAAAAGCTCTCAAGCAGAAAAATGGAGAGTCACTAGAACAGGTTAGTGTTTTTTGACCTTCACATAATCCTTCAAACACTTGTAAATTGCCACTGGCGGAGAAGACTCAGCATTTACCCGACCGGGTCATCTGCAGAAGGGGGTCCTGGTTCTGTTGTCTTTCCCTGAATCTCTGTCCTGTTTTCCTCTTCAGATGCTTTACATTCCAGCCTCCTCTCCCTGACTTCATCATCCCTGCGGCTCTAAAGGGAGGGGAAAGGGAAGAGGGACTTCACCACCAGAGAAGGCAGCAGATGGGGGGCCGAATCAGCAGCAAATAACCGCTCTGCTTTTGGCCCAGGGCAGAGGCACAGATGTCAACGCCATCTCACATTCTGCCTTCCTCTCTTTGTGCAAAAAAAGGTCTTGCTTGACTTCCCATTATAATTGTGCTGATTCTAGATAGGAAGAGCTGCAAATGTTGACAGGCCAAGAAAAACTAAATTTACTGGGAGCTGGAATTAGGCCACCTCTGTTGAGGACATCCCAATAGAAATTCTTGCCGGGAAAGAGGAATATTTTGCCTCATTCTGGTATATAATAGTCTAAGATTACACCCTATACTGTAGATAAAAGTCTTACACAATAATTATACTAGCCCACATCTTAAGATCTTTTACTATTTCAGATATAACAGGAGTACCTCAGAGACATCATGAGTTTAGTTCCAGACCAAGGCAATAAAGTGAATATCACAATAAAGTGAATCATACAAATTTTGGGGGTTCCCAATGTATAAAAAAGTTATGTTTATACTGTAGTTTCTTAAGTGTGTAAAAGCATTATATCTTAACAGCAATGTACATACCTTATTTTAAAAATGCTTCTTTGTTGCTGTTTTTTGTTTTCTGTTTTTGAGTCAGAGTCTTACTCTGTCGCCCAGGCTAGAGTGCAGTGGCACACTCACAGGCACTGCAGCCTCAAACTGTTGGGCTCAGGTGATCCTTCTGCCTTAGCCTTCCAAGTACCTGGACCCACAGGTGTGCACCACCACGCCCAGTTAATTTTTAAAAAGTTATTGTAGAGGTGAGATCTTGCCAAGTTGCCCAGGCTGGTCTCAGGCAATCCTCTCACCTCTACCTCCTAAATTGCTGGGATTAGAGGCATGAGATACCATGCCTGGCTTAAAAATACTTTATAGCTTAAAAATGCTATCATCTGAGCCTTAACAAGTCATAATCTTTTTGCTAGTGGAAGGTCTTGCCTCAATGTTGATGGCTGCTGACTGATCAGTATGGTGGTTGCTGAAAGTTAGGGTGGGACAACAGTGAAGTTTGCCACATCAATTGACCCTTCCTTTCACAAAAGATTGATCCAGAACGGATGCTGTGTTAGCAGGCAAGACAACAACATTAATCTCTTTGTACATCTCCATCAGAGGACTTACACGAGGTATACTGTCAAGGAGAAATGATTTTTGAAAGGAATCTTTTTCTAAGCAGTAGGTCTCAACAGTGGGCTTAAACTAGTCAGTATACCATAAACTGTAAACAGATGTGCTGCCATGTATGCTTTGTTGTCCCATTTAGATTTTCAGAATGGTAAATGAGCACTGGCTTCAACTTAAAGTCACCAGGTGTATTATCCTCTAACAAGAGAGTCAGGCTGTCCTTTGAAACATTAAAACCAGGCATTGACTTTTCCTCTGTAGCTTTGAAAGTCCTAGGCAGCATCTTCTTCCAATAAAAGGTTGTTTCATCTACACTGAAAATCTACTGTCTAGTGTAGTTACTTTCATCAATGATCATAGCTAGATCTTCTGGATAACTTGCTGTAATTTCTATATCAGCACTTGCTGCTGCACTTTGTACTTTTATATTATGGAGAAAGCTTCCTCCCTTAAATCTCATGAACCAGCCTTGGCTAGCTTCAAACTTTTCTTTTGCAGCTTCCTTACTGCTTTCAGACTTCATAGACTTAAAGACAATTAGAGCCTTGCTCTCAATTAGGCTTTGGCTTAAGGGAATGTTGTGGCTAGTTTAATCTTCTATCCAGATCACTATATGGTTTGGACTGTCTCCATGTGAGAAATCAGGTGGTTTTGTTTTCTTATCACTCATATGTTCACTGGAATAGCACTTTTAATTTCCTTCAATAACTTTTCCTTTGCTTTCACAACTTGACTAACTGGTGCAAGAGGTCATTTTCAGCTTTTGACATGTCTTCTCGCTAAGCTTAATCTTTTCTAGCTTTTGATTTAAAGTGAGAGATATGAGACTCTTTCACTTGAGTACGTAGACGCCATTGCAGGGTTATTAATTGACACAATTTCCGTATTGCTGTGCCTTAGGGAATAAGAGGCCCAAGGAGAGAGATGGGGGAAAGGCCAGGTAGTATAAAGCAGTCAGAAAACACACATTTATTGATTAAGTTCACCACCTTATATGTGTATGGTCTGTGGTACCTTAAAAGAATTACATGAGTAAGATGAAAGGTCACTGATCAGAGATCACCATGACATACACAATAATTATGAAATACTTTGAAATATTGCGAGAATCCCCAAAACACAACATAAACAAAGTGAACAGTCTGTTGGCAAAATAGCACTGACAGACTTGCTTGAAGCAAGGTTGCCACAAACCTTTAATGTGTTAAAAAGTATAGCATCTGTGAAGCACAATAAAACAAATAGCAATAAGATGAGGTATGCCTGCATACTAGGCTCTTTATATGGATTATCTGATTTAGATCCCAAAACTACGGTATGAAGTAACTATTCTCTTCATTTCTGAGATAAGGAGACTGAGGCATACAGAGATTAATGGTATAATTAGTATGTGAAACCAGGCAGTCTGACTTTATAACTCATAATCTTAACCACAAATGCTATACTGTCTCTGCTGTACAGAAGAAAAATAAGAGTTAAATTATGGTATTACTAAATGGCTAAATTTTCTTGGAAGAGACTTAAAATAGACAAGTCTTATATTAAATTCTTATTTATGTGAAGAGTTAAAGTGAATTTTTAGTGTGCTCCCTTAGAAATTTGACGACTTCTATATGTTGGGTGATTTTTCAAAGATCAAACATGAGGCTGAGGTGTAAAGGCCAGCCTTAGTAATCATTCTGAACTCGGGATTCTGTAATCCTTAACTGCATGACTTTCTAAAGATTATGGTTTTTAAATGGGCACTAACAGAGCAATTAAAGACAAAAATCACACCATCAGCTATCACCATATAATATATTGACAAAATCCTGTTTGTGTGAAGATTTTTCAAAGTCAGTATCTGCAAATTCAGAAGGAAATCAATCCCAAATAACAACAAAAAAGTGTGTGTTTGGGGGGGAGAGTTCAGCATCCAGAAAAAACACGAACAAGTGAATAACTCATGAGTTACGGTAAAAATTGGATAAAATAAGAATCAGCACAGTTATGTCATGCAGAGAGGACTTACTCTATCCAAAAGTCATTTTGTAGTGATGGAGAGAGCACAGCAAATGAATGAAAGACCAACGATGTCTACTAAAGAACAAACGGACATGTCTGTAAGGAGTAAAAACTAAAAATAACCCCCCCGCTTACTAATTTCCCGAAAGTTGGTCATGCTGCTTCTCAGCCCTTTGGCCTACATCATTTAAATGATTTTCAAAAGAGGGCCGGGCTCGGTGGCTCAGCCTGTAATCCCAGCGCATTGGGAGGCCGAGGTGAGTGGAGGATACGAAACTCAAAGGCTCCATTTTTAGCAAAAGACTGAATTCGCAAGAGCAAGGAATCCACGGTCAGCCACGGTGGATGCCTGCCCAGAAACCCTGGGCATGACACACACGATCTGGTAGCC